CACTTTGGACTCCACCAAATTTTGAATCTCCTTAGCTACGGCGTCCAATTTATTTCTTAGAGCGTTTATCTGTTCAGGACCTAAATAAGAATATTGCTTCACAGCGTTCAGCGCTTTCATGCGGCTTTTTTTCTCGTGTATCCCGGCTGGCAAGTTTTCATTGGTCATTATCGTTTGAACAGTTATCACTTCGTACAAATGTTGCAACAATGTCTGTACAGTAACTTCATTTTCATCTTTTTTTAAAATTTGTAGCTCTTTTTCTAATCTTTGTAAAGAAGTCTAAAATATAAACAAACTGTGGTGTACTAAATTCCATTAATAACTGTATCTTTTAATCATTATCATATCTACTTCTAATCTAGATGTTATTTCTTTTTCTTGCTCCTCTTGCAATACGAGATCGCGTTCTTTGTCTTTTTCTATGCGCAATGCATGAGCAGCGTCCAACAAGTGAATCCCTACTTCCGCTTTGGCTCTCATTTTCTCAATACGTATCGTCACCGCCTAACGCAAAATTAGATTGAATAATAAACGAAAGATTCATTCAAATTTACCATTATTTTTTTTTTCCTCTTACTTCTTTCTCTTTCTCCATCGTTTTCAAATCTGCAGTAAGTTCACTGGCGTTCTCGAAATTCTGGGTCCAAGAAGAATAAAGGAAAATGAATATCAGTGAGAATGTTGACGCGAATATGATCTATTACCTTTCTCCCTATCTCTCTTTCCTTGTGCACCACTTTAAATCTATCGATTAGAGCTGTGTATTGTTCGTACAAAGAGGAGACCTCCGGATCGCTCAAATATACGCCAGGAACTTCCACCTAATTAAGGATAATGAATTTACTCAATGAAAATTATTTTTATGAGGAACCTCTCTCTCTCTCTCTCTACACACGCGCGCGCACGCACACGCACACACACCTTCACTAGGAAACGAGACAAATAAACCCTCTTTTGAACAGTATCTGCATGGGACAGAAGCCATGTCAAAATAGGATGAATGGTATCAGGATCTCCTCGAATCAGACCTTGTCTGTGCCAAAATAAAAACAAAAAATGAATAAAACTGATTACATACACAGTGATTAAAATAAAAGAAGCAACAGATTCTTGCCTAAAGCTTGCAGGATCTACCTGAGGGTGGTAATGAAGCACACGAAGAACAGAAAGGATATAAATCGAGGTCTCCTCAGGGGTTACATTTTTTGTATCAATACTAGTGTCACTCTGTTCCTGAATCTTCATTAACACTTCTTTCAACACCTGCAATGTAACCGCTATAAATAAAGCTAGTCCTACACAATATAATTCAAGCTTCTACAGACATTAAATCAATATCAAGATAAAATTTTAAGTATTGACTCTTACTTGCAACAACTCCTCTGGCCTCAAAGAATTAAAATAAATTACATTGTAATTATGACCTAACAGCTTGTTTATTTCTGCCACAATAAACTTGGTGTTCTCCTTCATAGCTGTTAATTTTCTTTTCTTATTTTTGTGCTAGCCTGATTGTCTTATAATGAACTGGGTTGGTTTTGTCACGACAACCAGTTGTCCGGGTAACCATGTTATGTATATACCATCTCCCCCCCCCTTCTGGAAGCACGCAAAAGTCCACGTGCAACGCGAAAGAATTCGCTTGACCTTTCCCTTGAAAGTGGTCGTTAATTAAATCAGGTGTACGACACACTATATCGACAAGCCCAAAAAGGTCATTTCATTTTCAACTTGGTGTAATTGTTTGATGCCGCTCCTTGTATCGATTTTGTGGTAATTTATACGCAATAAAAGCAACACGTTTAATTTTATAATAATTGTAAAAACTACACATCCTCCCAAGGTAATGAAGGAGCACAGGTGAAACAATTAAATACTAGATATGTAGCAATAAATGGAGATATTAGAAATTAAAATGAACAGTTCAAAAGATTTCCTTCGTAATGCTAATTCGATTCAGTCGCAACGTTTCATGGTAAATAAAGCAGTATAGGTGAAGTTCTGAGTGTGATTTAAGAATCATTATCGACTTTATTAAAAAAGAAACTTATCGAGACATAAGATCATAATTAGCAGACATTGCTTTCTTTTTTTTTTTTTTTTTGTTTTAAATATATTTTCAAACACAACGAATTATCTCTCTCTCTTTCTCTCTCTCTCTCTCTCTCATTATATAAAATTGCAAGTTTTTTCCATCCTTCGCACGAAAAATTTCTTTCTCTTTTCAATAAATAATAGCGCAATTTTCATATGAAAAAACTTGGGATTCGGTTCATGTCTTGACTTACAAATCTTGTGGGAATTTATCAGCAGCGTGTAGTTGTTTGTGTGGGCTTGTGTGTGTGTAAAATTGATCTGAGCACTATACTGAACCTTAATTTTATTATTTAACAAATTTCAGCCCTAAAACAGTGTTTCTTTATAGATGCTACTAGATTATAACATTTTCATTCGCTTATGTGCGGTTAACAGGTAAAAAAAAAAAAAAAGAGAGTACACCAAAGTTGACCAAGTTGATTAAGAGGAAACATTCCTTGAAAAGTCAACTGGAGCATAATTGAAAGTGTGATTAGTTATTTTTTTTTTATATAGTGTTAAAAGGGCAACCTTTTTGTTAATTCTTACAGTATGTTATATTATATTAAAAAATGGCTTATGAAGTCTTATAAAAAGAACCATGCAAAGTCATATTACTTGTGTGACGATGTTTAATAATCAGTCTAAAATTTGAACAATGTAGCAACGTTGTGATAATCAAATACTGCATGAAAAATCGGTTGAAGATTGCA